TGCCGCGCTGCTTTCCCGGCCGGGGGGGGCAGAATCAAAACCAAATGTTTCCTCTTGGCTGCTGGTTTGGCCTTGGGAGGCAGTGAGAGTGGGGCCAACCACATGAGCTGAGGGCTTGTCCCGTGGGGCTGGGGTTGGTGGCCGTGCAGGCACCCTCTGCCCCCTGTGCTGCCCCAGATCCTCTGGGGAGCAAAGCACCGGGCGGGCTGCGTGTCCTTCAGGAGCTGCAGAAGGTGCTGGAGGATGCCTGGTGGGAGAGGGGATGCTGTGAACAGGCAGTGGTGTGGTAGCTGTAGGAGATAAGATTCCAGCCAGCAAAGCAAAGCCTTCCAAGCCTAATCCCTTTGGGAAAGGTGGGAGACTGATAGGCAAAGCAGAGGCTGCTCCTTGGGAACCGGGATGATGTAGGTGCCTGTTTGGAGCAGGAGACAGGGTGATGGGAAGCCCCAGGTAGCTGTGGCTGGCCCAGCTGTGGGGTTGCATTTCCATTTCCAAGACATCTCCATTTCCAAGGCTGGTGTGTGGAGGTAGATGGTCTCTACCCAAGTGGGTCAGCACCTGTTGGGTGCAGCTGGTGGGACTTGCTGGTGCAGAAGGGCCACCAAGGCTTCAATCCTCAACACCTTCCCAGTACCCCTGGATTGCTGTACTGGAAATCCCAGTGGCCAACAAACTGGGAGGCAATGGGCTGTGGAGGGGCACGAGGCTGAACATGTTGTCAGCCCCATGAACAGGTTCTTGGCTGCAGGAAAAGGCAGATCTGGGCAGAAAGGCTGCACACACACTTTGCAGCCTTTCCAGGACCAGGTGTGTTGGTTGGACTTGATCCTGTAGCAGCTGGGGAGGGACGGGGATGCTTTCTGCTCTGAAAAACTCCCCTCCTTCCATTAAAAACTACAGTCAGATGGCTGTCCCTTCCTGGGCTGCACTCACTGGTCACAGAACCCTGCCCACTGGTGGCACTGGGGCCCAGTGCTGCTCACGGGGGTGTCTGCAGGCAGGGTGCAGTGGGGCTGAGCTCTGCACCCCCGCTCCCTCCCGAAACCCAGCACGGCCCCTCAGCCTTGGCTCCAGGCTACGGCTTGTGACTCGTGTCCCAGAAACATTTTTAGGCAGAAATCCACCAAGCTGGAGATGATTTGGCCCCACTAGCCCTGACTAAGCAGGTCTGCTTGGGCTCAGTGCCTGTGGGTGGATGTGCAAGTGGCCCAGGGGGGGCTGGTGGTGGCCCCAGGGCTGTGGCTGCATCCACCTCTGAGGCTGCTGCCCAGGATGGGAATAGCCATCAGCTGCCAGGTTGTGGCCATAGCAACATCCCCTTAGTGCAGGGATGAGCCACCCTGCCTGGCAGAGCCAGGAGATGCACTGGTGCTGGGTTTTTTGGGGAGCCAGGGAAGGGTTTGGGTGCCCCAGGGCTCTTCCAAGCCGTCTCTCCCTGCAAGCCTGACTGCCCCAACAGGCTGTGACAATTTATGGATGAAAAATGGTGCTGTGGTCCTTAAACATGCCAGGAGCTGGGGATTCATGGGTGGTGTGGTGGCCTCTGCTAATGGATTGAACAACCTGGCTGTCACTTCTGGCAAAAAAACCTACAGCCCTTCTCCCTGTGAAATATCTAAGTTGGTCTTTGCTTGGTGCTTAATTGTGATAGAGATGGAGAGTCCAGAGCTGAAGCTCGTGGCTGCCTCAGCTCAGCCCAGCCTTTGTTTCTGGCCTTAATACTTGAGTAGCCAAACAAAAACCTAGATTTGAACCCAAAATGCCAGGGAGGAGAAGGGTGTGGGGGATTCTGGAGTCACCAGAGGTGGAGGTGGTTTGGGTTCCCTCCTGGTGTCCCTACCTTCATCTGCCTCTGCCTCGCAGGGATGGACCTCTCAGCCAACCAAGATGAGGAGGGCGACCAGGAGACCTACCAGCTGGAGATCAACAAGGACACCAAGAAATGCGCCTTCAGGACCTACACTGGGAAGTACTGGACCCTCACCTCCAACGGGGGCATCCAGTCCACTGCCTCCACAAAGTGAGTCCCTCGTCCCCAGCAGCTCAGGGCCATGCCTTGGCCTTCAGGGACCCCTCTGCCTCTCACAAGGGAATCCAGGGGCGATTTTCCCAGCCTATGGTGCCCAGGATGGGAATAGCCATCAGCTGCCAGGTTGTGGCCATAGCAACATCCCCTTAGTGCAGGGATGAGCCACCCTGCCTGGCAGAGCCAGGAGATGCACTGGTGCTGGGTTTTTTGGGGAGCCAGGGAAGGGTTTGGGTGCCCCAGGGCTCTTCCAAGCCGTCTCTCCCTGCAAGCCTGACTGCCCCAACAGGCTGTGACAATTTATGGATGAAAAATGGTGCCGTGGTCCTTAAACATGCCAGGAGCTGGGGATTCATGGGTGTGGTGGCCTCTGCTAATGGATTGAACAACCTGGCTGTCACTTCTGGCAAAAAAACCTACAGCCCTTCTCCCTGTGAAATATCTAAGTTGGTCTTTGCTTGGTGCTTAATTGTGATAGAGATGGAGAGTCCAGAGCTGAAGCTCGTGGCTGCCTCAGCTCAGCCCAGCCTTTGTTTCTGGCCTTAATACTTGAGTAGCCAAACAAAAACCTAGATTTGAACCCAAAATGCCAGGGAGGAGAAGGGTGTGGGGGATTCTGGAGTCACCAGAGGTGGAGGTGGTTTGGGTTCCCTCCTGGTGTCCCTACCTTCATCTGCCTCTGCCTCGCAGGGATGGACCTCTCAGCCAACCAAGATGAGGAGGGCGACCAGGAGACCTACCAGCTGGAGATCAACAAGGACACCAAGAAATGCGCCTTCAGGACCTACACTGGGAAGTACTGGACCCTCACCTCCAACGGGGGCATCCAGTCCACTGCCTCCACAAAGTGAGTCCCTCGTCCCCAGCAGCTCAGGGCCATGCCTTGGCCTTCAGGGACCCCTCTGCCTCTCACAAGGGAATCCAGGGGCGATTTTCCCAGCCTAGGCGTTCATCCCAAAACGCTTTCTAGCCAAGACAGTGAGTTCCCTGGAGAGCTGGGGCTGGGTTGGGACTTGCCACCCGTGGTGTTCGGGAAGTCCCTCGGGCCACGCAATCCTTTCTGGCTGTCGAAACACTGTACCCTGCAGTCCAACCCAGTTCCACCCAGCTGAGAGCTGGGTGGAAACCCCAACAGTGCTCTTGGCTGCCTGCCTGCCTCCTGCCTGTGGGCGAGGTCTTCCCACTGGGATTGGCCACCGTGGCATGGCTCATCCCATGAAAATGGATAGAATTGGGGTCTCCCAATCCAGCTGTGGCCCTTTCCGAGGCAGCAGGGTGGCACCGGTGGGGTCTTCATCTGGTGATTCCCCCCCCGACCACCCTCTCTGCCCCCCAGGAACGCGAGCTGCTATTTCGACATCGAGTGGTGCGACAAGCGCATCACCCTGAAGGCCGCCAATGGCAAGTATGTGACAGCAAAGAAGAACGGGCAGCTGGCAGCCTCCATGGAGACAGCAGGTAAGGGACCCCCCTGGGGACCCCTGCCCCATGGTGGAGCAGCAGGGGGTGAGTAATTGCTCCCCTCTCCCAAGTGACATTCAGAGAAGCAGGCAAGAAAGTTTTCCCTAACGGCTGCACCGCTGCAAGGGGACAGGTGGGGTGGGTGAGAAATGAGCAGGGGGCACTGCCCGCCCTCCTCATTGCTGGTGGCGTCTGGAGGTCTGGGCTCTGCAACTCCCAGGGTGGTCTCACAGCCCCTCTCCCCTTCGGAGCAGGTGAGACGGAGCATTTTGTGATGAAGCTGATCAACAGGCCCATCATCGTGCTCCGCGGCGAGCACGGCTTCATCGGGTGCCGGAAGGTGACCGGCACCCTGGACTCCAACCGCTCCTCCTACGATGTCTTCCAGCTGGAGTTCAACGACGGGGCCTACAACATCAAGGGTGAGTCCCCGGGGGTGGGGATGGGCTGGGGATGGCCAATGAAGTCCCCGCAGGTAGCTCACGGGGCCCACCTTGTCCCCTCTCCCTCTGCCTGCAGATGCCACCGGGAAGTACTGGATGGTGGGGAGCGAGTCGTCCGTCACCAGCAGCAGCGACGCCCCCGTGGACTTCTTTTTTGAGTTCTGCGACTATAACAAAGTGGCCATCAAAATCAATGGCAAATACCTGAAGGGCGACCACGCCGGGGTCCTCAAGGCATCTGCCGACACCATTGATGCCTCCACCCTCTGGGAATATTAATGCACTTTAGCGTCTCCTCCCATTGCCAACTGCTCTTTCCCCTCCTCCCTCCTGTTAATTTCTTTCGGGTTTCGTTTCTCCTCTCTGTAAAAAGGATTTTCAGACCCACTTGCCCTTCCTTCCTGCCGTAGAGTCGGTGCGTTGTGTGGGAGGTGGGTCTCCATACATCTCTGTAAGAACTGGAAAAGTGATGGGGCAGCCTCCTTATAGCTTTGTAGAGGGTCTGTCTCTATCTGCCCCCCCTGCCTCCCTTCAGGTTTGCTGGGCTTGGAAACTGCCGTGCCCCCTGCTCCTGGCCCCCAGCATCACCTTAGGTAGTTTGTTTTCCTCTCCTCGACTGGAAAAAGGGAAGATCACCTCTGTGCTCGCTCTGCCATATCAGCCCTGGTGCCACCTCTCTCTGTTCTGCCAGTGTCTCCCAGAGCACTCGTCCTGTGCCATCCTGCCCTGCTCCAGCCAGGAGCAGAGTGAGGGTGCTGGGCTCCACCAGCTCCTCCCAGCTGCCCCTGGCAGCTTCTCTCCACTCCTGGCTTTCAGGGCAGGATTCATCCCCAGCTGAGCCATAAGAGGTGACCTTACATATCACAGCATTCCTGGGGACAGGGCTGGTGTGCACCAGCACGTGTCCCCACGGAAGGGCCAGCAAGCCAACCCCTTCCCCATGCAGCTGGAAATTAATTATTTTTTAGGGTGATCCCGTCTGGAAAACCTCAGCCTTTCATCTCATGGAGCCCCGTGCTCCTTGTGTCCTTCTGCCCCTCCTTGTGCTTCTGGCTCTGGAGGAGCATCATGGAGCCCAGCAGTGGGGCCAGCCCAGCTTGTGCCAGGGCTGATCCTGTGGCTGTGCCTGGGAGGGAATGCAGGGTTGGGGGGCACTGAGCAAGCCTGTGCTGGGCAGGGGGCTTCATCCAGCCCATCTCCAGCACTGGTGGGCTTTGGTCCCCACAGGAGCCCGGCTGGCCAGTGCAACCCTCCTGGGTGGTGGCTGGAAGCATGAACTGCAGATTTTGGTTTACAGAATAGAAAAGTTCTTTAGCAAACTTTGCACAGTGATATTTGCTCAGTACCTTTTCTTTTTCCTCTCTCTCTCTCTCTCTTAAAATACTGGAACAGTGACACGGATCCCTGAGCACCTCATGCTGGATTAGGATGTGCCCATTCCCGTGGGATTCCCCGAGCAGGGCAGCTCCTGGTCTTGCACCTGAGCTTGGCTCTCCTGCCATTGCAACCCTCCTGAGGAAACAAAAAAAAAAAGAAAAAAGAAAAAAAGGAAAAAAAAATGGAAAAAAAAGACCAAAACAGTATTTTTGTTAGTCTCTATTTATATATGCTCTCCATGGCACTGTGGTACCAGCTGTTGTCTGTCCTAGGTCTGCATTAGAGTCTAACGCTGTTTGTGATGGGTGATGCTGATGTGTTTGTTAGGGTGTTGAAGGGCACTTCATCCTTTGGGGCCTTCCCAGGGCTGCTGTTTTGCTCCCTCCAAACACCCCAAGGAGCCTTTCCCCCCCCCCTGGGGAGGCAGCACAGGTCCCCCCCAGCCGGCCCCACACCAAGGGTGCTCACGGCACAGCTGCCGTGCCTAAACAGGGCCAGTCCCTACTGCTGGAGGTGAGGTAGGGGCTCCTCAGCCTTAAAGCCACGTGGGGGGACAACCCTCCATAGGAGCTTGGTGCTAAACTCTCAGCTGAGAGAGCAAGTGACCTGTCCCCTGCCAAGGGGACAACTCCAGGCTGGGGTCCCTTGCCAGCCCAGGGAACCCCAGCTGGGCTCTACCTCGGCTCTGCACTCACATCAGGGGCTGTCGCACCTGCCCGGGGACCCTCACGGCCCCTGAAGGACCGAGTGTCTTGATGAAGCCCTGAGTGACCCTGTGACTTGGCACACACTTCTCACTGGCCTTCACCCCCCCCACCCCCGTGTCACCTCCTCCCTGTCCCTCCCATCGCGGTTCAAACCATTTAACTCCCGCTCCAGCTTCTTCCATCTGACACTAGGTCAACATCTCTCCTGTCTCCTCCTCGGGTGTCGTGACTCTCTGAAAACATCTCACTCTGAACATTTTAAGTTTTGGGTTCGTTCGGGTTTGTTTGTTGTTGTTTTTCTTTTCTTTCGTCTGTTTTTTGTTTTGTTTTTTTTAATTATTGTTTGTTGTAAGTGCCATTTGTATAACTTAAAAAGAAAATAGCTTCAAATGGAGAAAGATGAATTAAAAAAAAATAAATAAAGCCCACATTCGGATACAAGCAGTGGTGACTGGTCTGTCGAGGTGACCATGGCTGGGGCTGCAACAGCCTTTCAATGAGGGACATGGAGCTTTTTGGGGTCTTTGGGGGCCAAATTGCTTCACAAAGATTGGAGGGGGAAGGGAATGGTGACCAACAGACTCACCTCCACCAAAGGATTGCAGGCCAAGCTGGCTGGAGGCTGAGTCATCTCTTGAGGTGCCCAGAGCAGCCCTAAACCACTGAGCCCATGGGCATCTTCAAGGATGGAGGAGCTACACACAGGTCAGGGAGATGCACCAGCATCTCCTGAAGACCCTCTCTCCTGCAAACCCCCTCCCCCTGCCCTCACAGCCAGGGGTGAAGCTGTACCCTCCTCTTCAGCCTGGCAATGCTGCAAAGGAGTGAAGCTGCTTTTTCTCTCCCCTTGGCTCAGATATTTCTCCCCAAAACAAAACCTGGCACACAGGTTTTGTTTTTCCCAGGTGGGAAGAGTGGTGGATGCTGGTTTAGGGTGCATGGGCCAGCAATAAGTCCCCTCCTTGGTGATACAGAGAAGGTGGAAGCTGAGGAGGGGCAGGAGCTGGGAAACCCACCTGCTGCAGCCCAGCCCAGAGCAGTGTCTGGCCAGAGGAGTCAGGATGTGACCCCAGCCCTCCCAAGACAGACAAAACCAACCCAAAAACTCAACCAACTCACCCAGGTTTGATGCTGGGGCTAAACAGTTTTGGCTAAGCAGGCAGCACCTGCTTATGGAGGAGCTGGGGGGCATCTCCATCACCCCTGCAGAGCAGCCAGCCCCCTTGCCCTCCATGTCCCACAGACCAGCTCGGCACCTGCAGGTCACCCTTTTTGGCTTTTAAAACCTAAATCTGGTCTGCTAGAGGACATTGCCAGGAGGGACCTTCAACTTCAGACACGGATTCAAGCACCACAGCAAGGGCTGAAGGAAGGAAGGAAGGATGTTCATTCCTTGCTATAAACAGGGAGAACTAAGGCCCAGCAGGAAATTCTGAGCTTGCCCTGGATCCTCCAGCAACGTCCACACGTGCATGAGCAAATCTGGCCACAACACCCCAGACCCGGGGACAAAGCAGGGAGGGAGGACCTTCTCCCTCTCCCCCATCTCCTTTGCTTTTAAGGCCAGATTCTGCATTTACCATCACTCCTTCAAGGGGCAAGGTCCCCCCAGCCTCTCCCCCCACGACACACACATCCTGGTTTCCATTTAAAGGAGTGACTGGAAACCATTTTCTAACCCATCCAGTTTTACCTCGGGAGCATGTGGAACGTATTAAGCTTTTCCAGGAGGGTCAAATGGGTTTTGCCTGGCAATTTGCAGAGTTTTCAGCAGTGCAGGCTGAGATGTGACACGACAGCCCTGCCTGCTCCTGCCTGTCCTTAGCCCTGCTCAGGATGGAAGGACAAGGCTTTGGCTGTGAGGAAAGCACAGAGGGTAAAAGCCATAGTGCACAAATTTATTTACAAAAATTCAAATTACAATATAATACAGGAACTTTTTACACACAGAATATTCGAATGGTTTCCTACCAGAAAGTAAAGAAAAATATTTTTCTTGTTGTGGGTTTTTTTTTTTTTACTTTTTCTTTTTCTTTTTTAATAAACCACCTATTTATTTTTCAGCTATTGTTATACAAAGTTGCAGAACATGCACATCTTTACAGGGTTTCTTTAACAGAACGTTTTGCTAAGTGCAAATACTAAGTTTCTCTCTCCACCTTTAAGGCAAGTAAAATGGGACACTGCAATTAACCATAAGAAGTACCTGTTAAGGATCAGCCTGGGCACAGCAACCTCCCTGTCACCTTTCCAAGGACAAATGGTTTCAAGTCCTGCGGGGCTGGAGGGAGGCTGGGATGCAGGAGTCAGGTCATGGATGGCCCCAGCAGACACCACAACCCCAAGGTGTCTTGGGTTAGAGGGGAGGAACAGCCACAGGCTCTGGCTTGTTGGTGAAATGGGTGCTTCCTCAGGGAAAGAAGCAGCACCGGGAGCCCCGCATTGCCCCAGGGCAGGGAAGAGGGCTGAGCCCACCGCTCCCATCAAACACCCATTTCTTCTCTCAAATTAGCCCGTGGTTTTGCAGGGGACATAGTGACAATACTCCTCTCTCCCCCTATCTCCAGCAGGCTCCTCCAGGACCATGACCCACAGCAGCAGAAGACACTCACATCCTAACCACAAGGATGGAGCAAGGACACCAGCCCCCCTTGCCACCTCTGCTCAGCACTTCTCCATCCCACTCGCTCCACCTCTGCACCTCTCCATCTCCAGCCTGGCAAGGCTGCAAAGATGGGATCAGACCCCCATTTTTGTCAGTGCTTCCTGCCACGCAGCTCCGTGGGACACTGGAAGAGGCCACCCCATACCTGCTTCATTGTTTGGGCCACCAGTTTAGCAGCTGAGCTGTGCTCTGGCTGCCTGAGCCACCCCTTGCAGAGGTGGGTGCTGGGGGACAACCACGACCACCCTCCCTGCCAGGGAAAGGCACGTGCTTCCAAAAGCCTGGAGGGCTCAGCCAAGCCAGCCCACAAGGTCTCAGCTATCAGACCCCCAGGATTCCCTTTTTGGAAGGGAAAGCCACCTGGGTCCAGTTTCTCACCAGCTCTGTCCCCAGATCCAATGGGACACTCTGCTCCTGGCTCCTGCAGCCATCGCTCGGTGCACGGTAGGATCTAAATCTGCCTAAAAGCAGCAAGTGAAAAACTCCTGCAGCCCCTGGACCACTGCCAGAAACTAATTAAATAATAATAAAAAAAGATGATAGCAGCTGGGAGTACAACTTGGTCACCAATGCTAGAGACACCACAGCCTTGAGGAGCTAGAACAGAGCACTCCCTGGGCTACCTTCAACAGTCCAGAGTGGAAAACAGCTGACTCAGCTCCACAAGACATGAAAGTTCCCTCTGGGGGACCCTTCTAGGGACAACAGTCCCTAGATGCTGTCACAGATCATGGTGGAGGCTGCTCCTCTCCAGGAGCCTCACACCAACGTGCCCATGGCTCACTGTACACCCGAGGAGACACTGGCTCTGGATCTCTGCCAGCCAGGGCTGGGGGAGGAGGCAGGGAGGGAGTTTTACCTGGAAAAGCAAATCAAACCAAAAGCCACCAGGATGCTCAGATACCGGGTGGGATGGGG